ATGGCGGTGGCCTAGCAGCGGTGAGGAAATCAATTCAGGGGCATGGCAGGGCTGGGTCACTGCTGGTTCTGCAACCCAGGCCTGAATTCCACTACCGGTTTGGACAAACCGAGCCAAACAGGTAACAACCCACCTCTGTTGTGCTTGTTTCTTCAGTCATACCTTCATTATGATAATCTTTGAATGCTTCTGTCCTCTCTTGTTTGATAGCCGACCTACGGTAGACCACGTGAGCTCTTCCATCTTCTTCTTTCTCCCACTGTCCTCTCTCAAGAGGCTCAATGAAAAATTCACCATTGTCTGTTCGAATGAGACCAGCCTGCAAAACCATAAGACAAAAGAATAAAAGAAAAATAAAATATTTATTATATTATTTTCTTATTCATTAAGTAAGAAATTAAATATTGGTCATTGTGAGGATGCATATTATCAGAAATGTTAGTTTTTCTTCTTTCTCTCCTCTCCAGCCCCAGGAATTTCTGAAAATTCATCATGTTCTAAAGAAAATATCTAGACACACCCTTGAATTTGCCAAAGGTTTAATCATTTCTCTAGGGAATTAAATGAATACTCAAATGTTATTTTCTACCACAATTCAACAATGTAGCAGTTGTGTATCCCAATATTTTCTTGATGGAAACAAATACACACAACCTACAGTTTGATCAAATGTCAAAAACAAATTTCCATAGGTGTATATTTTATCAATTTGTTATATTTATATAGCAGTCCATATCACTAAATGAGACTTTGGGTAGCATACAACCAACAAACAATTAAAAACAATGCAACAGCCATTAAAATCTATTAAGAGCTGAAATTGTAGGTGTGAAAACCTCAGGAATACAAAACTCAGGGACATTTAGCATCAGGGGAATATTATTAATAAATCATGGGTTAATTATCTGATTATGGGGGATTTGGGCCAATGCAATTCTTGTTCTTTCTAATATGTTCTTTCTGATTTATTTATATTGTTCTTAGTGTTGATTTAAGAGATTCAGGAACTAAAATATTCAACTTCGTCTAAGTTGTACTCAGAAGTGGCTTCCTAGTTTCAGTGAATGAGAGCTCTATTACTCAGGTTTTAAAAATATGTCAGTAAAGGCACACTATAGAAATGTTAATGAGTAGCATCCTTAGGCAGAAGTCACTACATGGAACAACATATTTTAAGTGGAAATGTTAGAATGAATTGAAATAGCTGAAATGCAAATGGAAAATAGCTGAAATGGGAGGCAGGTCGAATCGTACATTGACTGCTAACATTCACAATGCTGACTTAAGCTATCACTAAATCTGCTTGGTCACCAGGCTCTTTCACTATATCTGTCGTTTAGGCAAAAATTATTTTCTAACACATAGTAGTTATACCCTGGCCCTGTAAAAACAGAACCTCTATGGGGAATCTGACACCAAGACAAGCCATATTACTATACTTGGTGACCTCCAACTTATCATTATTTATACATTTAGAATAGAATAGAATAGAATAGAACAGAATAGAAAATAGAATAGAATAGAAAATAGAATGGAATAGAATAGAATTCTTTATTGGCCAAGTGTGATTGGACACACAAGGAATTTATCTTTGGTGCATATGATCTCAATGTACATAAAAAGACAAGATACATTCGTCAAGAATCATAAGGTACAACACTTAATGATAGTCATAGGGTACAAATAAGCAATCAATTCATACTAGGAAACAATCAATATAAATCGTAAGGATACAAGCAACAAAGTTACAGTCCTGCAGTCATAAGTGGGAGGAGATGGGTGATAGGAACGATGAGAAGACTAATAGTAATAGTAATGCAGCCTTAGTGAATAGTTTAACAGTGTTGAGGGAATTATTTGTTTAGCAGAGTGATGACGTTCGGGGGAAAAACTATTCTTGTGTCCAGTTGTTCTGGTGTGCAGTGCCCTATGGCGTCGTTTTGAGGGTAGGAGTTGAAGCAATTTATGTCCAGGATGTGAGAGGTCCATAAATATTTTCACGGCCCTCTTTTTGACTCATGCAGTGTACAGGTCCTCAATGTAAGGCAGGTTGGCAGTAATTGATTTTTCTGCATTTATTTATTACTTCAGTGCTGGCTATACATGCCAGTATGTATACTGTTTGCTGAGGCCCTATAGTAATACAATTTTCAGTCTCACTTGTTTGTGTGTCTATATTACCAAAGACAGATAGTCGGAATTATTTATACAATAAATACTATGTACTATTATTAATTGTGTATTCAAGGTGGCTACTGATCCAGTAGTTGGTAGTTGTACCAACAAAACTATAGTATTTTAGGCTGTGTGCTGTTTGCTGCAAGACGCTAGCCAGATGAATACCAGGTGAACGCTGGGAGGAAAGAGGCAGATTTTTCCCCCTCTGTTTTCCTCCTCTAAACCTAGGTGAGTCTTATGGTCAGGAGCATCTTATGGAGCGAAAAATATGATATATAAAAATATGCCACACAGGATTTTCTTGTTTTCTCCAGTCATTTTAATTCTACTCTAATTTGTATAATATGAACACAAATAAGAGAATCTTGTTCTTATACACATTTAGATAAGGTGCCATATTCCCATGAATATCAATCTTTTGGCAATTGCCTCTTCCATGCAGGGGTCTCATGCAGCCTTTTTAAACATGATTTATTGATATGAAAGTAACAAGAGTTATAAATATTTCAGCAACTGAACTATTTCCACTTTAGAACCAATGTATTTCCCAACTAAACATTTTAATTTAAGGCAAACTACTATGAAGCTTGAGGGACACGGTGGCTCAGTGACTAAGATGCTGAGCTTGTCGATCAGAAGGTGGGCAGTTCAGCAGTTCGAATACCTAGTGCTCCGTAAGAGCTCCCATTACTTGTCACAGCTTCTGCCAACCTAGCAGTTCGAAAGCATGTAAAAAATGCAAGTAGAAAAATAGGGACCACCTTTGGTGGGAAGGTAACAGCGCTCCATGCACCTTCAGCATTTAGTCATGCCAACCACGTGACCACAGAGATGTCTTCGGACAGCGCTTGTTCCTCAGCTTTGAAATGGAGATGAGCAACCCCCCAGAGTCGGGAATGACTAGCATGCATGTACCTTTTCCTTTACTATTAAGCTAATCCTAACCATCCTTAGAAATGAAATCCACTCACCCCAAAAATCAGAAATAGGTTGAGTGTCTTCTAAGCCAGTTACCCATTCCTCAACTGCCCCTCCCGCAAACACTTGAAATGACATTACTTACAAATACACATTTGGGGAATGAAACATTCAGTTCAATATCAGCACCCATCATGGTAAGTTTATATGTCAGCAAAGACTGCTGTTACTGTCATTAAGTTAAAGCTGATTGAAGGCCACTGTGCTGAGCAGAGCTTCAGATCTGCTCAGCAAATATATATAGTATAACTATAGCGTAATATATGTAAACTATTGAGAATGTTATCCTTATCTGTCAGAGTTTTGGCAGCGTGACTAGTATTATGAGATAAACCCAGGAGCAATAACACAGCACATAAGAGCTTTAGACAATTCACAGTGGTTTATCTACAAATATATACAGACATATACATGGAGAAATAAATTCCCTTACCATTCACTACAGACACAAGGAGAGAACTGAATACACGAGAGAGAGAAACTCCTCTCTAATGACCACCTATATATAGACTCCTTTTAAAACAGTAAATGACTTTTGTGGACCCCACCATCAGAATCTTTAAAAAGTTATACCATAGTTGCATTGAATAATCCTCATTGCATCAGCCTTGCTGATTACAGCTTACAACCTTTCATCAGCTGGCAGCTATTAAATCCTCAGTACCCTGACATTATCATATCCATGTACACACTGAATGAAGAAGGCATGGATAGGGCAGTACAATGTCCATATAATGTCATCTTCCCCCAGTGATGTACTCCTAACCAGCCCAGATCACAGAACTATTGATTTTGTAATTAGCAAACTTAGGCCCAACACAAAACTAATGCAGAATTCAAGAAAAATGAAAATATAGGATACATATTTGAAAATTTTTAATGAAAAATATTCCTCCTTACTATTTTAATTCAGTCTTATAATAATAAAAAGTGTCCAACATAGTGTTTTTTGCAATGTAATAGAAATATTTACTGGGTGTTGATTAAGGCAGGTTTTATCCAGCTGTAGATATGGTAATACAGTATTTGGGCAGACTACAGTAACTTCCCATCACTATCCTTTAATCAATATTTTACTTACTCTAAGTTCTCATTTAAGCTAAGAATATTACAAGCTCATTCAGCAAATTGGTTCTTTGCTCTTGTCTTTCTCTATGTCAGTAATTAAGGAAATTATGCTCCGATAGGCTTTTAAGATACTACTATATCCTAGAACAGTGCTGGCGAACCTTTTAGACACCAAGTGCCCAGACTGTGTGCATGCACATGCCCAAACTGAAAAGTGTGCATGCACACGGACACATGCATGCGCAGACATGTACACACATGTGTAGCAGAGACCTGAAGATAAGTTGGCCAGTGGGAGGCGGCACATCCCAACATTGGCAGTGCAGCAAGATGTAAGATATTTTTCTTTCATGAGCTTCTGTTTCGTCGTTTGCAGGGAAACAGCTCGCGAAAGAAACGCCACGGAGATCTAACCTGGGGTGATGGTGCGCATGCCAGCAGAGAGGGCTCTGCGTGCCACCTATGGCATGCGTGCCATAAGTTCGCCATCATGGTCCTAGAACAAGAAAGTAGTACTCCAGGAATCTCTGCAATGTGTACTTCTTGATCTGGACTACCCCTATGGGCTGACCTCAATCTTGAAAGCCTATTTTTTCTGTTCCCCTTATGCTATGCAAAATCAAGGTATGGTGATTCTGGGAGTATTTATTTATCTAAATTTATATACAAGCCAGCTTCAAATTAGTTTTTTTTTTCTCAAGCATCCTTCAATCTCCAGGCTGTAATCTCTTGGCTCAGTCCTTATCAGATCTTTTATTACTTTCTCAGTGTCACTGTAAAATCCTTTACACAAGTCAATTGATTCGCTGGTGTAGGTGATCAATCATAATCTGTCATCCAGAATTATCTTCAAATGATCAATTGCATTTATCTTGAATAAGCAATGCACCAATGTCTGCAACATAGCCAGCACATAATTCCAAATCGAATGTCACCCTGCTATAAATCCATCCTATATGCATTTTAATCCACACATACACATGCGGTGGCGCAGTTATGAGTCACGGTGATGCGATGGTTAGAGTGCAGTACCGCAGGCTATTTCTGCTGACTGTCGGCTGCCTGCAATTTTGTAGTTCAAATCTTACCAGGCTC